AGAAGGAAAAAGGGCAAAGAACCTTCGTTTTGGTGTCATGAAATAAAGTCAGTCTTGATAAGCTCACTATCTTGTGAGCTGTCTGCATTCTCATCTTTTCAGCTTGTCAGAAACCCATGTTGTGTTCCTTGTGACTTGAGTAGAACACATCAACCTTGCTATTACAGGTTGGCTTAGCCTATAAAAGGTATATTTTGCTATGTTACAAGAGTGAAATGAGCCTGGGCTATCCTATGGGAGTATCTTTATTTTTTGACATGCATTAAGGAAGAGTTACTCTCAACTGTAAACAAGGCACCTGTTTAATAATACTGAGAATGTTACTGCTTTTTGTCAGTAAAGGTTGTATCTGGAACTTCCTTTCCCATCAGCTTTAGTGCAGTTTGTGTGGAGCTTGTTTTTGAAATTTTACTATCCAGTCTTTCTGCAAACATGCCATACAGTGGATTGGCTAAAGGAAAATGATGAGGCTGTTTGCAGTAATTGTTTTGATACAGTGTCTTGATCTAGTGAAAGGAAGTACACTTTAATCTGATTTTCTAATACCTCGCCGAACTGCAATCTAGAGAGGCTATGAAACAGTACTATGCACTACTGAGTGCTTCTGACTTATTTTTCAGAGAACTTGACGTTTTTGTGCCCTTTGGTTAGTAATCGAGGAAAAGTCAGTAACTCCTAAATGGAGGAAGCCTAAATATTCTGGAAACAGGAGCAATACTAGTGATTGGTTGTGAAATGGTCTTAAGTGACTTGTTTATTTTTATATGAGATTGTGTCTGAAACAAGGCCAGAATATATTTCTTAAAGGTGGCATCCAGCAGTTTAAAATGAGACCTGTTTTTCCTGTCTTTATATAGTCCTCTGTGTGTTATATACTTCCAGTTCTAAAGGCAAATACATCAAGGCTGTTTTGGGCAACAGTCTGTCTTGCTACACAAACTTGAAGTTAGTGCTTTTTCTACGTGTTCTTTTTCTCTTGTGGCCTACCTTTGCGTGTAAGCCAGGCGTTTATCCCAGTATTTAAGCGGTAACATCCTGAAGAGCTCATCTGATAATATCTCTGGTGTTCCTGCTTTGGAAGGCTTTGGAACTTAAGCTTAGGATCTTTGTTTCTAGATGCCAAATTGTTTCTAACTTTTCTAAGAGGTATCTTCGAGTACGTTTCCCATTGTTGCTTCTGCACGTGGTATTTTAATTGCATACTGATGACACAAAAGGTTTTATTCCATTAGAGTTGGGTGCTAAACATTTCTCACGACTTGGTCAGATGCAGTGTCCGTACATATGTATGGCTGAAGACTTGTTTCACAGCTGATTCATTTCCTGAAGTACTGTCCATGCTGTTCATTGTTTCCTCTATGAGAACAATATGTAATTAAACAGTTACAAGCAGCATGAAGAAGCAAGTATGTTATGATTAAGTCTGGTGTGTTTTTTTTTTTAATTTGGGGGCTTGACCTCCTAAACTCTATCTGTTTTAGTGTATTTTTGTAAGTAGTGAGTAGGAAAGTCATTAATGCACACTTTCTGCATTCACGAGTTAGTGTGTTTTTCCTTTCTTACCAGAAAAATCCTCATAATTTTGTCGTATTAAGTTGCTGGCAAAATCTCCCATGGATTTTGATGGTATCAGGTGCTTTGACGCTTCCTGCGTGGTGGTTTTCTGTTAGGTTTTTGTTTGTTTGAACCCAGTTTTCAGATACAGAGACAGAGATGACAAAAACCTCCTTTTTGAGGGTTTAGCGTTTTGGAGCATGAACTTGACATCTTTTTAATCAGCATACAAAGATAGGTTTTAAGAGTATATGTAAATATTACAATACTGGGTTTGTGTGATACTTTATGTTCTCATGATATAGTGTGTTGCATGTCTGGTAGCAGAAACAAGTTTATGCATGCTTTCTCCTTTATTTTCAAGTAAGCAGGTAAAGGAGTAGCTTGACAGTGAAGCCTGTGTTTTCTCTGAGGGCATCAGTGTGTTAGCAAATCTTGGAACTTTGCAATAATGTTGATATTAAGTAAATTCATTTGGAGTTAATGTGTTCCTGACTAGCAAATTTTTCTTGTTCTTTACATCTGTAATGCTCTATGTTCCTTAGACTCCTTAGGTGAGGCAGTAGCACGTGATTCTTCCCACTGCTTCCCATTCCCGGAGTTCTGCTGTTGGAGTAAACATTATTCCCAAGTTTTCATAATGTAACTTATTAATGAGAAATACATTTTCATAGATGCAATAATTTATATATGACTTCAAATAAATAGGCTAAAGTATGTTAAGTAGTGTAGTATTAATTAAACTAACTCTCTCAGGGAAAATACTTACTATACGGATTGCTGTGGAGTGAACGGTTCTGATTTAATTGCTTTCTGTCTTCAGCTGTTCACTGTTCCATTAATTGATGTGTGCTCAGAGCAGTGACTTAGTTTTTGCTCTGTCTTTTGATTCCCTGTCCTGATAATACATATAGTGCAGGGCTTGTGTGCCATGTGCTCTTTTAGAAAGCCTCGGGAATTCTCATAAGTGGTCAGACTTAAACTCCTGCATCTTCATTGTGAGCAATCACACTCTCAGTCTCCATGGAAGGAATCTGATCCATGATCCTCTGGTTACTTGAAGAGGATTTGCAGATGCTCTTTGACTTGCTATTTTGTGACTTCTCGTACGATACGGCACGTGACCAGGCAGTTATGACTGTAAGAGGTAGCTATTAATTAACTTTTCCTATAATGGTTTCTGGTTTGGATTTGGAAAAATGGGTATGGATTTATGAGGAGAAAAAACAGAGTGAAGAGGGAGAGAATTTTTTTTTTTTTACTGAAGAGTATGAAAAGCTAATCTCTTTCCTGTCCAGCCATCTCTTCTCTTCCTCTTTCCTCTGCTGTCTGTTAATATGATGTAGGCTGTATCACATTACTAATTTTGGGGAGAAGGGAAGGGAGCATGCGGTGTATCAAGTTTGTTAAAACTGTGACCTTCTAAGAGTTGTTTACCTCTTGGTGTCCTTGTGCACAACTCAATAGAGTAAAATTGTTTTTTTTTTTATTATTATTAAGCACTATCAAGATCAGCAGGCATATGTAGCATTTTACCATAACAGCACAATAAACTTCTCTGAAATTGCTTCTGCTTCCTGCATGGCTTATGAGGATGGACTATGTCTTGTAACAAGTCCTGCGAAGCTCTGGCCAACTGAGTGGCAGCTCAGTGGTTGAAGAAGTTTCCCCAAACCCAATTCCCCAAGTTTTGCAAATTTTAAGTAAACTGCAAATGTGATCAAACTTCTTTTATTGGATTCAAGCATGAAAAGGTTCTGAAGTTAGGTAATATCTTGTTTTGTCTTCGTAAGTCTGATAAGTAGTCGGAACCACCTGATATGTGTGTTCAGTTAAATTGCATTCTAATCTCCAGCTGCATGTTTGCCCTGTGCAGTGATTCAGTTTCTCAGTGTAGATAAAATAATGGGAGTACTGGTTTTTTGAAATGTTTAGGTCAAAACCAGACTGGAAATCACTTCTGAAACTTAACGTGAAAACCGAGACCCCAAAATTTGTTTTAGGAATGCACACTGTTTCCTGGAACCCTACAGTAGCTTGGTAAAATACATAATAACTTTTACATAATAACTGCTTGACATCTTTCGCTCTGTTGCGTAAAAATTGACTTCTTAGACTTCTCAACTCCTGCATCGTACTAGTAAGATTCCTAAAATTTCAACCCGAGTCACTGAAAAAACTTTCATGGAATCCAAAACAGTAATGGTAGGCTGCCCCAAAGTCAGGACATGCAGGATATTTTCCCAAGAATAGATCCTGGGAGTTTTGCTTAACTCCAGTTTTCATGGGCAGGTTGATAGTATGGAAAAAATGTCTTCCTTCCCAAACACTTGGAGTCTATTGCCAAGATAACCCTGGATGCTCAGGTGTTACTCCTGGTTTTCAATAGATTGCAGTATAGTAATATGTGATCTGTGTTTAGTAATATAAACTCTTGCAGTTTTGAAATGACATGAAATTTATCTGATTATATTTTTTCTTTAATTACTTTCATAATTGTGCACCTTTCTTACATCCATCCTTTTTCTTTATTATTATATAAAAGCAAAAATAAAATAGAGGGAGGAAAGCAGTGGTGGTTCTTGTTTTGTTATTAGAATTCTCCTCCCTTGCTTACCTTTTTTTTTTTTAGGACAGAGGGAAGTAATCTTTGATGTAACAGCTTATTTTGGAAAATAAAAAAGTGCTTCCTTGACCGAGTAAAATTCTGAGACTTACAATTCAAACCTTTCAAATTTTATTTAGCTTCCTCTGTCACCTGTTGTAATATAATCATACTTTTTTTAAAACTTCACTAGGTCGCCTTAAAGTCTTGCCCTTTGAGATGGTAAAGATGGAATTTGCCACCTTTCCAGTCAGTGTTTCTATGCTTAAAGGGCCAGAGACTTGATGATTAAGCCTTGTCAAGATGAATGTATAGTCTTTGACAGTCCTGATTTTTAACCATCGAATTGATGTGAGTCTGTAAAGTGTCTCTGCAGTCAAGAGAAAGGATCTAACTTTCCTGGCTCGATCTGTCTGTGCCTCTTTCCAGAATTACCCTTTTCCATATCACCTACTGCATGCTTACCTGCTGCTTCTGTTTCTCCTTTCTTGCTCATCACTCCTTCGACTTTAACATGCTTCCAAAGAAATTCACTAGTTTGTCATAAGGAACATGGGAAAAGTGTTACATAATTTTTAGTGTCATGTTAACATATGCTTGAGCATTCATAACTCACCTGGGTAGTTACAGATTTGGGGGTTTTGTCACATTCTGTTTAAAAAATACTTTTCTCTCTGCATCAGTATTAAAAGGAAATTTTAGGATTTTAGAATTGTACAATGATTAGACACAGTGTGTGTGGATGTGTGTATCTACATTAAGTTAGACTAAAGATAAACCTGGTTCACGTGAAAGTGGCAGGATAGCATATTACTTGTAATTATTTTTTTCTTTTAGGTACATGTATCATGTTTTGACTAAAAATACCACAGTAACAGATCACAACCGCAACCTGCTGGTAGAGACTATTCGTTCCATAACAGAGATCCTCATATGGGGGGATCAGAATGACAGCTCAGTATTTGAGTAAGTACTTCTAAGCAACTTGGACTCTGGTTTCGTTTTGGAAGAGTGATTAGAGTTGCACAGAGATCTGATTCAACAGGTGTAACTCTTCTGAGACTATATTTCATGAATGTAAGTAGAAAACTGTCCTGTAGTAGACAGGTAAGCAGGATTGTATTCTTGTCGTACAAAGAAATGGGGAATTTGCTTCTGTTAACAAAAAAGTATTCCAAGTCCAGAGCCACTTTCGTATACTGCTTTTATTTGACTCTCAAGTCTTTGATATAAGTACAAAATCTAACCTATTTTAGGGCCCAGATTTACTCAGTGTATCTATTAGTATCATATTAATTCAATTTGCTTACTTCAATTTATATAAAATAGTACAAATAGATTCTTTATTCTGTGATGTTTAGAGGTTTTGTTCAGATGTTATTTTGATCTTCATAAAATAGCGTAATAGAAAAACGAACTTGGAAACAAATATTCACAGTTGCAAATCTGACTATTAATACTCGTTGCTTGACTGTTTGCTGCAAGACACTTGGCTCTTTATAAAGGCAATTCGTGATTGAGATAAGTAAAGCTAAGGTGTTTGTTGGTTTAATTGCTTATTTAGGTGGTGGTTGGTTTTGTTTTTACAAGATGATTTCAACATGATTGGGTTATGATGTGGACTAAGAAAATTAACTTATTCTGGCTATTCACATCGATACTGTAACTCCGTCACACTTCTCTGCTTGGGAGAATTTTAGGAATTAGGAGGTTTTTTTCTGCAGTTTATGTAAAAAAACCTTTTTATAGATAGGTATTTGCGATGTCCTTGTAGGAACGAGTCCACACGTTCTCTTTAAATTATATGCATTTCTGGTTTAAAAGTACTGCAAGCATTCACTTCTATTTGAATTGTACAATAAACCATGAAATGCTTGCTTCTGATGTGGAAAAAAAAAGTGAATCAAAAATAAGGACTGCAGTGTTAAAAAGCGTGTTAGCTTAAAAGGGGCAAGTGAACAAAATATGACCTTCATTTAAAGGCTCTTCCCTTCAAAATTATGATTGCAAGGTAGAGAAGCTGCCTGGTAAATTGAATACAGTAAAAATAAAAAAGGCTCTGATTTCCTGACATCTGTTTTCTGCATAATTTGAGTGTTTAAGTGCCCTTGTTAGTATTTAAGTTTTTTTGAAGATATTTTTCTGTTAGACAGATAAAACTTTGCAAAATAATTCTTCCTAAATGTAAAACATACTGTTTGTCAAACTTGCCTAGAATCGTCCCTGATCCTAGTAAAATTGTGTTCCTGTCAAATACAGCACGTGACTTAATGACACCTCTATTTTATTTCAGCTTTTTCTTGGAGAAGAATATGTTTGTTTTCTTCTTGAACATCTTGCGTCAGAAATCTGGTCGTTACGTGTGTGTACAGCTTCTGCAGACTCTGAACATCCTTTTTGAGAACATCAGTCATGAAACATCGCTGTGTAAGGACACGCTTCTCAACTGTTTAGGGTTAAGTGATCAAGATTTGATTGAGTTCCCTTTCATTTAATGAAATTTAGTCCTGGTGCCCCTTCACTGAAGAACTACCTGAATTCCTAACAGTCTTTTTAACTGAACACTACTGAAAATACAATTTGACTCCAAAATACCTTTTAATGAAATTTTCAGTAGTGCAAAAGTAGTTGTTTTGTACTACTGAAAGACTTAATTTGCATATTTCAAGGGGTTCTTTAAGTCAGCAAATAAGTTGTGGTGTGAAATGTTCGCCTTGCTGCCGCAGATTATGCAGTGGAATTCTGTTGTCTAATCTGTACTGGAACTGTTCTGACGTCATTGAGGCTGACATTCAGCCGCTTGCATTTATTTCAAGGTTTTTAGAAACATATGAAGAGGACAAAGAATTAATAATTTAAAGTACTCCACAACTATTATGAAGAGAAAGTCATATACAAGCCTTTGCGAGTTTGTGACTTTGGGAAAAAAAGAGAGTTGTTTTAAGTGTTATTTATTAGCTTCAAAACCTACATAAATTGAGGAAGGGGAAGTATATTCTCAGTTGTCTTGTCATTGGAAGCAAAGACCTTTGTAGGGAACAATTTCCTTATGTTTCTGCTTGAAGCCATCACCTGAGTTGTTTGGCTAAAATTTGGGATCCCCAAGCATCAGGTAGTTGCTAGCTGGTACTTTAAATACAGCTCGTTAACATAATGATTTTTTTCTTTTTGTTAACCTGTGTAATATCTCTTATTTTTCAGACTACTTGCTCTCTAATAACTATGTAAATTCTATTATTGTCCACAAATTTGACTTCTCGGATGAGGAGATCATGGCATATTACATATCGTTTTTGAAATTTTTCCCTGAAACTCAACAATCATACCGTACATTTCTTTTATAACGAGGTAAGTGAAGAAAGAGTTGCAGTATAACGATAAGAGGACTTTAATTAAAAATTGATAGCAATTTGGCGCATAATCTATTTAGTATTTTGTCTCAGCATGTCCTGCATTTATTTTTCTAACAATAATACCAGTGATTGAGAATTCATTTGTGGGGATCTCTGCAAAAGTGTGATAAAGGCGGTCTTCGTCCTCATACAACTATAATAAAATCAAAATCTGGAAGTTAGTGTTACATTGGAGTGTTTCATAAACAGTTCTGAAGTCCACTTCACTGAGAATTCAACTTGTGTCTGCCTTGTTTTCTTGTACTTTTATAAACAGGATCTTTTCAGTTGCACCACTGGGTTCTAAGAGGCTTAGTCTAAGTCTAAAAAGCCTCAGCAATCAAAGGCCAAACTTGAAATGGGTTTTTGCTCGTTCCGTGCCGCTGTTTGCCAGAAGAGGGCAATAAAGCACTGAATTTGGGCAGAGTTAACATGGAATGCTCTGACTCTTAAAGAGTTTATTTTAATCAGACGTACAAATGCAGCGGACTGTGCATTGTAAAATCATTTCGATTGCTTAAGTAGAAGGTAAAAAATCAAAGTAATACATGGAAAGCATTTTTCATACAGAATCCTGACAAATATTCTGTACATGACTTGGTTAATTCATAAATGCTATCTTTCCTCTTTTTACAGCACACTAATGACTTCGCTTTGTACACTGAAGCTATTAAATTTTTTAACCACCCAGAAAGCATGGTCAGGATTGCTGTTAGGACTATAACTTTAAATGTCTACAAAGGTATGCTTTTTATATATTAAAAAAGGCATGTGTACAAAATGCTTGTTTCATTGTAGTTTAATTTTCAGCAATTTACATTTAAGGGTCTTCTGTCTATGAGATTGAAAAGCTTAGCATGTTGACATGCTTCAGATACACATTTTGTTTTTTATGAGACAGAACCCCAAACCCACAGTATGTATTTGTAAATAGTACTGTTTTGTCACAGTTAAACTGGTTTAAAAAAACCCAAAAGAGTATCAAACATACACAGGGAACTTTAGCTTCCCTTCCAACAGAGATCAGAATGTGACTGTATTTAAAAAACAACAACAAAAACCCCAAAACAACCCCAAAGCCAAGGTGCTTTAATGATGTCAAGTACTTTTTACTTATGAACTTGAGCTTTATAATGTATGAAGCAGTAACCTTGCTGGCTACATTGCTTCCTTTTGGATTTGGAGTGCATTAAGGATGTCATTGTAGAGATCCTAGGTGTTGCAGTCACTCCAGTCTAAAGAAGAGCTAGTCCATTCCCAGAGGTGCCCAGTGAAGACCAGGAGGCTGCAGTTGCAACTTCCTGTACTGGACGTTCCAGTAGGACATAAGGAAAAATACCTCACTGAGAATAGTTAAGCACTGCAAAAGGTTTTCGAGAGAAACTGAGGAATCTGTATTGTTTGAGATTCTCAAAACTAAACAAGGCTCTTACCAACCTGGTTGAACTTTGAAGTTAGCACTACTTGGTACTATTCAATGTCTAAAAGAGAATGAGTTTGGACTATTCAATGTCCAGAAGTCACTTCTACCTAATTTTTTCTTGGGGGTCTATAAAATCTGTAATAAACTGAAAATATCACAGTGATCTCTGTAGAAAATTTGGTGTGTTTTCGGAGCTTCAACCTCTGAAATCAGCATGCTGTAAAGTAGTATTTGTTTTATGGATTATGTTAATGCAGGGCTTCTTACTCTTTAATCCATTTTACATTAAATTACATTTTGAATTTAGACAGCTTTCTATCAATTAAGAGAAGTAGTGATTTGATGACATCATAGAAGAATATACGATTTTTTTTAAAACAATAAACAATTGGTTTTGCAAATAACAGATCGGTTCTTCATAGTGTTGACTGCAAGGGACAAATGTCTTTTTGTATGTTGAGAAATGGACACTTAGTACTTGTTTTCTACCTCAAGGAGCTGTAAACCCAAATACGAGCTCACAAAAAGAGTGAAGTGTAGGCTTCATATCCTGTTTGCTATATATTTATGTAACTAGATATTTTTTACGGTAAAAAATATATTTGTCTAGAATTTTCATTGAATGTTGTAGTGATACAAAGGTTAGAGTTGGAAAAAAAATCACAGCTCAGATGTTCAGGTTTCATAATTTTCTGACTATCCATTTGCATATATTCTGATCTAACACCTACCCTGTATCTTTTAGTTAGATGCTTGTGCTTTAGCTTCCTAAACCCTTTTGGAGGATGCCACTATCCCAGTTCCTAACCCTGTTAACTGTTGTCTGTTTCTTTTGCCCTTCCTTCACTGATGATTCCTGTGTTCCTTAATGCAGTGTCATGTAAGTCTAACTAGCTTGACTTTCAGCATTATTGCTTTATTCTTACACTTTCTTCTCTTCTTTTTAATAAAGAATGTGCTAAAAAAAACCTTTCTGAATGCCACTAGATTTGTTTTTTTTCCAGTGCTATGTAAATACATCAATATTAGGCTCATTCAAGCCAATTAAGAATTGATATGATGCTTTTGTAGATGTCCATTTCATGCATAAGATCATGTCAGGTATATACTTGTGTGAAAAGCTAGCATGTAATCAAAATTGAGAAGATATTTTGTTGTGTTTCTTAGAAACTAATAAAAAAAAGTTGGCAACTGATTTTTCTTTTTAACAATTTCTCTTTAGTGGACAACCAACCTATGCTGCATTACATTAGAGATAAAACTGCTGTCCCTTATTTCTCCAACCTCGTTTGGTTTATTGGAAGCCACGTGATAGAACTGGATAACTGTGTGCAGACCGATGAAGAGTAAGCTTTTACAAATGCTGGGTATTGAATGGAAATGCTTTTCCCAGATGTTGATTCTCTCCTTATTTTGTCTATAGTATTCCAGTTAAGTTAGTTTCTGAATATGTTCCCTTGTAGGCAGTTCAAGCTTTTCATTCTTGCAAAGTTTTTTAGTGATTCTTTGAATTAATTGTGGTTAGTGCTCTGTGCCTTATCTGCGCTAATATCCATACAAATAAATTAGTGTTTGGCAACATGCTTTTTCTTCATCTTTTAGTTCTGCCAAATTTAACAGATATCTAGAAGACACAAAAGGTATTTTGTGCTTCTCAATCATAACTACCTTTGTCTTTTTAATGTTCCTTTTGTATGTATTGTCTCAGTAGAACAGCTTTCTGAAAAGATTTTAGGGAAAAAATTTAAACTGGAAATGTGAACTGTCAAACCTGAAATTCCTGTGTAATGTTCCACTATCAGCTGCAGAAATATTTTGTTGATTCAGGTTATTCTTGGTTTGCCTTCTCACTTCTACCTTAGAATGGGCAACTATTTCTTGCTTTCTACGTAGAAAGGTAGATGTTATATACAACATAGATTTCTTCTTTTATTTTTGGAAACGCATCTTACCATTTTTTACCGTTGGCTTGTGGAAAACTCTGGCAGTGGAAAGCGAAGTTTTCTAAAAACATTGCTTGTGGAAACTTGGGGAAAAACTTGATGTGTGCATCCTAAAGCACATAAGCCCAAATACTGTTTCCTAGCTGCATTAGTTGACTTTGCCTAAAGAAGATGTTTTCAGTAGTTGATCTGTGCAAGGTGATCCATGGAAGGAATGCACATTCATTCCTTCCTTACGTTTTTAAGACTTGGACAATTTATTATATCTAAGACTTTCTTTCTGCTCTCTTTCAGGCACAGAAATAGGGGCAAACTGAGTGACCTGGTAGCAGAACATCTTGATCATTTACATTACCTTAATGATATCCTTATTATTAATTGTGAATTTTTAAATGATGTGCTGACAGACCACTTACTTAATAGGCTCTTTCTTCCCCTCTATGTGTATTCATTAGTAAATCAAGATAAGGTAAGCTAATACCTGCAAACAGTTAAGTCTTAAAGGTATT